GCATCATTGAAGTAAGCTGCAGAGTTCGAAAAAATCACCAAAGTCAATCATCAACCATACGTAACCAATTCCTAACCGAAATTGCTTTAAATTGAAAAACATTATCACTTTACCTGGAACAGTTATAACAGCATCCTTGATTTTCTTTCCAAGGAATGCCTCGGCTGTCTCCTTCATCTTTGTAATAACCATGGCACTAATCTCCTCTGGGCTGAAAACCTTGGTCTCGCCATCTTTAATCTTGACTTCAATGTAAGGCTTTCCATCCTTGTTGACAATCTTGTATGGAAAAAGCTTTATGTCCTTCTGAACTTCTTTGTCACCATAACTACAAATATACACACACACAGAGATTAGAATCTCAATCACGTCACAATCATTCACACACAAGCATGCATACAGAAGAACTATGAGAGAGAGTACACACACTCTTCCTATAAGTCTTTTGACATCAAAGATGGTCCTCTCAGGATTAGCAGCTGCCTGATTCTTTGCAGCCTCACCAATCAATCTCTCACTGTCAGTGAATGCCACCCACGACGGCGTAATCCGGTTACCTTGATCATTGGCTATGATTTCAACATGCCCATTTTTGTAAACACCAACACAAGAATATGTTGTTCCGAGGTCTATTCCTATCACTGTCCCCAACTTGGTGGCCTCCTCTTTTGCTATAGAAATTGTTAACAAACTCCCTGTTCACAGATTAAACTCCCTTATCAATAAAGGAAGCAGGAATCTCAACCACAATCTTAAAAATCAATTTCAAGAGAAAATACAAAGAAAGCATGTTATTCAACTTCAGCTATAATTCAATGCCATTTATAAACAAAGAAAAAAAAATGCTATACGGAACAAATTCATTCCCTTTGAATTCGGTATTTGTTAGCATAATTAAAATAAATAAATAAAAGATAAACCCTTTCGCTAAACCATTTTCCAAATTCATTCCAAAAAAACTCAAAGATAAAACCCGATATTAAGAAACACCGCAACACATCATTAACGTTTCAAAAACTTCCCTTTCTTTTACTTCCGCTACTTTCTCACCATCCAAACACGAGAAAATATAAACGAAACAAAGAAAAAGAAAAAGGAGTGGAAGAAACTTAAGAAAAACTGAACACTTACCAAGCAAAAAAATTGCCATCACCATAAAAGAACCTGCACGATGCTTCAATGAAAACCCCATGATTGCTTGTCTTGAATGACAACAGCTAAAGATTTTAACGTTCTCTCCTTTCTTCTTCAATTGTTTTTTTTTTTTTTTTCTTCTTTGGATGATTTTCTGTCAGGCACCAGACATGCTTTATAGTGGATGGAACATGTCACAGTGCTGACATGGACCAATTATAATTCAGAAAAAAGTCTGGTAGAACTATACTTCATTGGAACATGTCACAGTGATGACGTGGACCAATTATAACTCGGAAAACTCTGTTTAAACTGTAGTTCTAGTAAACACGTCACAGTGCTCACGTGGTCCAATTATAATTCAGAAAAAGTTATGTTTGATGTGGCTTTCGGAGAAAAAAAGGTTGGTTATATATTTATTTATTTTAAGCATCTAACTGCACCAGTAATGATTTAAAGGGAGTTATTTTAATGGAAAAATCATGCAGAGTTATTTTAAATTAATAGTGAAAAAAAACAAGTAAAGTTTCAATAAAGACAGGACGGGGAATTGAAAATTACTTATTAAAAGACATATACGTTACCACACAAGAAGAATATATATATATTAAATTACGCAAACTAACCTAGATATTTATATTAATAATATATGTGTATATACTCACACGCCTTCGTTGTCATCCCCCTATTAATTTATTTTTTAAGAATTTTTTTTAAAATATTTTTTTTAAATTAAATTTTTTAGTATTTTTAAATTAATTTAATATACTGAAATTAAAAATAAATTTTAAAAAAATAAAACAACAGGATTGCAGATATGTTAATAGCAACATATCAGTTTATTAATATACTGACAATAAACATATTCATTAACACAAACTTGCATTGTCACCGTGTTTCATTCAACATCGATATCATTTTTTTAAAACAATTATAACTAAATATTATTATTTTCACTTGTCATAATTCATCCAGTCGTTCCTCTTTTCTTTTTTCTTTTACCCCACAATGCAAACATATATATATATATATATATAGTAATAGGCAATTTTTTTTCTCTTATTTTTCCGTTTTCTTTGAAATTGTTGTGTAGAAAAAAGAAAGGTATAATCCATCAGTTTGCCTTTGACATAATTTCTCAATTGTATCCTTATATATGCTAATGACACTCAAATTTAATGCATATGTTATTTGATTCAATCATTTAATATGTAAAAATTGTCTAATTCAATACTAATTATACAAATCGTGGAAACAATAATATATTAAAATTATACATGTTAAATCAGTGAATTATGCCATCAATCCACTAATTTAATGTTTATAATTTCTGTACAACGATCATTGGATCCATTGATTTCAGTGTGTAATCACAATCCATTTCCACATCGAATATTATTAAAAACAATTATTTCACATATGTACCAAGTAAAAACATTATGGAATTGAGGGATTTTTTCAAGCATGGGAGTGAAATTCTGGTTTGTCCAAGAAAAAACTTCTTCAATCTTAAAATGTCACCTAATCATGGTTATTGCTAATCTGATATTTGTGTGTAATTTTTTGTTTTTAATTATTTTTATTTCAATGCTTATCGTTAGAATTTAAAAAATATATATCTTCATTTATTAATTTTTTTTGAGTTCTTTTTCAAATTTTTTATTTATTTCAATTTCATGTATATCATACTTTAACATCTTTGATCTTATCATTCTATCTAAAGATTTTATTTTATTTAACTAACCTCTTGGAATTATTGCCTAAATTTAATTTGTATTCATTTACTATTTATGAAATTATCATCTAACGAACATGTTATTAGCATCTCATGATTTGAAGTGCCTTTACCCTCTATTTAGAGCTTTGTTGTTTATTTGGGTTTTCAAATTAAATATATTCATAATATAAAAATTGGAGTCAACTAAATAACGTTATATATGTATCTCTTTTATTTTAATTTTTTTAAAATTTTGCAATCTAGTTACTTATTAATTGAAATTAATAAACCTACTCTTGGGGGATGATGACTTGAGTATATTTGCTATTGTGATAGTTTTTATGGTTGTAATTTAAAAAAAAATATTTTATAAAAAGTATTTTTAGTTCAGGTTGGTTTGGTATTTATATATGTTTTGTTAAAACTGTAATTGAAATTGAGGTTAAACATAAAATAATTTAATGTGTTTGATTAAAAAAATGTTTTTCAAATTGAGGTTGTAAAATAATATATATATATATATATATATATATATAGTTTTTAATTTAAATATTATAGATTTAACTACTGCTATTACATTATGAAATAAATAATACTTATATCAAATATTTTTTATTATTTAATTAAGCTATCTATAATTTTATTATGTACGAAATTTATCCTATAAGGACTACAGTTTTTTTATTTTTTAAAGGTGCAAGAATATCATGTAAAATATCATTAAAAAAAATTAGGATCGCGATCAAATCCTGCATATATTATGTCATCAAATGATCTCTTTTTAATTTTTTAAATAAAGCATAATTAAAAATTAAATTTAAATTTAAATTTTTTTAACTAAATCAAACCTAATTTAATATATTTAATTTTAAATTTAATCCAGTCCAAGCATAATAATAAATAGCAACTTTACAGTTCATATAAACACTAAAATCATTCCACATTCCGCAGATTGATAGAAAACAGCTGCAAACCTTTCATTTTAATAAAATTTGAATGGTCCCATATAAATAATAAACTGTGTTTTATTATTATTAAATATTTAATATCTATAATTCATTTTAAAAGTAAAAGCTACCGTAACTCGTACTAAAACACAAAACATTTTTTTCTTTCGGTTATTAAAAAGGTGGGTTATTTGTTTATTATTATGTTGAAGTTGTGGTTCTTGATCTGGTGGAAGAGGAGGAATTTAAAGAGAGTTGCTTCAACCAATCAAAAACTTGGGTTTTGTGTTGGGATGATCTTCACCATTGACTTTTTTTTTAATGGTATTTTGGGGTCCAGGTATAGAAATTAGAACTTGAGAAGAGTACTTTACCAGAGTCATCCATGAAAAATATTCCATATATGTTTTATAATTTCATAATAAAAAAATTCTTGAACTCTTTGTGATCTTCATTTATTCTTCTTATAATTGGTGGTAAAAAAAAAAAAACAATTTTAATCGAGTATGAACAATCTAATTATTAAGATTTAGAATTTTCTCTTAGAAATATTAATTTTAAATACTGAAAAGAGATTGCATGAGGAATGCAATAATTCTCACTCTCAATTCTATAATCCAAAATATATTAAATCTTAACTTACCCGATAATAATAAAATTGTATGAATGTGACTTATAATTCTCTTAATTACCTTAAAAATAGCTTTAACAAAAAAAAATTATTCAAATAATCCCTTTTATTAAAAAAGAAAAGAATGAAATTCCATGTACAAATGGTTTAACTTTAAGGGTTAAGCTAGCTAAAACCACACAATATGTGAATCTTGGTGGAATGTCTAGTAAATATCTTGATCAGCTTTCCTTGAGAAATCAGTTTTTTTTTTTTGTAGCATACCTTGTCAACTGTATTTATACCTAGTTAGGTATGTTGCTTCATAATGGTACCATATGTTGGGATGAATTAGTGTTTTGGAGGAAGTTACAAATGTCTAGTAGATGGCACTACTGAAAGTGAGGTGCAGGAATCTTCACTTAAGTGTGGAGTGGGAGTTCTTTAAGGCTGCGTCCAGTATTTCTCAATACCCTGATGTCTAATTTACCAGTTTGGTGCTAATAATATGGCAGGGGGTGGGGGGGTGGGTAAATGTGTCAACCAATGAAGCATTGACTGCAGCCGCAACAATTTCAAGGGCATTGCAACGTAACTGGTGCTAATAATATGGCAGGGGTTGGGAGGATGGTTAAATGTGTCAACCAATGAAGCATTGACTGCAGCAGCAACAATTTCAAGGGCATTGCAACGTGTTCCATAATGAAGTCTAAGGGCCTTGCAACGTGTTCCATAATGAAGTCTATGCTTGTATGAATGGTGTCAATAATAATTGAAATATGTAGATGCTGTTTAGTGAACATGTTATTGATACTGTCACCAAGAGTATCTTTATAAATGTCATAGGCACACAGGAAACAAGCTTAATGGTTTGTTGTTCCCACTTTTCAGGAAAATGGATGCCATTCATGCCTTTGCCAGAGAAGGAGAGGTGAATAATTTGCTCAAATGCATTGATAGTGGTGTTTCTGTGAATTTGAGAGGTTTGTTTCTCTGTTTTATTCTCTTTTTCCTGGTCATGTGTGGGCACTGAAATAAATGAATGGTATTAGATCAGTGTCAAGAATAAATTTGCCACCTTGATTGCATGGGTGCTTACTTGTTAGTCAAATTGAGATGTCCTGAATATTGCCTTCAAGCATGCTTGCACCCAATTTAATAAGGCATTATCGAGCTTACCATGCTTGCCAGAACTTTAGCAATGCGGGGTGCCATTAAATGATGCAATCATATTCATAACTAAGAAGCTTGCCAAGATTGTCTTACTGGTTAAATACTTGAATTAAACTTGCCAGTATTTTATTGTAACTAAGAAAATATTCTCAGAAATAAAACATGCCACTATTTTGTTGTAACTAGGAAAAGATCCACAGTATTAAAAAAACCTTTTGATTGGAGGTCTATAATTTTTCCCTTTTATGTGATTTGATGTGAGGTCTATGGTTAAAAAGCGACTGGATTGAAAAATTGTATTTCCTGATATCAAGTTAAACTCACAATACGGAAGTGGCCTTGGCAATGTTTTACAATGTTCATAACTGTAGCTTGTGCTGGAACAGGCACATTGGCAGCCTTTTCTATTCTTTTTCCTGGTTTTGTGTGGTGTTTATTCTTTTCCATGAACCAATGAGATTTCTAAACACTTGTGATTACTGCAGATAGTGAGGGCCGGACTCCTTTGCATTGGGCTGTAGATCGTGGTCACCTTGATATTGCTGAGGAGCTTGTTGGAAAGAATGCTGACATAAATGCAAAGGTACAGTAGATGTTTGAGGCATCTTTTTTGAACTGCCTTCAATTCTCTGGTGCTATTACTTGCTAGATATCATACAAATTGAAGTGCTAGTAGTTTTTAGTAATTAATGTAATATATGTCCATTTGCTTTTTGCTTGCATTTCTAAAGTTTCTATCTCAAGATTAGAAATGGGCATCCCTTATTAGGGTCCTGAAGAAGATTGTCCATTGTCCCACATTCCTTAGAATTTGATGGTTTCAGGCCTCATTTCCAGCGGGGGTATAAGGCAGTGGCCCTGCTTTCTCTCTCTGAAAAAAGAAAGCATATGGTGACATAGATTCTTTGGATGAACACCTGCATTACTGAACTTGTTTTGAGATTTTCCTTGTGTTTTAGGGTGAGATGCCATGGAAATTCTTTCTCTTTGTCGCTGATCTGATTATTGCTAATGGTCTTAAGTTTTTTTAATGGCAGGATAATGAAGGCCAAACCCCATTGCATTATGCTACTGTCTGTGAGAGAGAAGCAATTGCTGAATATCTCGTGAAGCAAAATGCTGATACAGATGCGAAGGATTTTGATGGCCAATCTGCCCGTGATCTCTGTGAGTCAGACTGGCCTTTTCTGCATCGTGTGGCATCATAGACTGACTGGCTGCCTGCTTATTTTGTGGTTCCTTCCAGTTAGTCTTCTTGACAAATTCCCTGCAGCTGTGCATGGCTACAACATATAACCTTTTAAATTTCTTCATCTTAGCAACAAATTTACTGATGGCATCGTGTTCCCTGTCACGGTCCTTCACGTCTGTTTCTCTCTTGCCTTCCCATATTTTACGAAGGTTGAGTATAGAGGGTCGTTAAATGGCATGACATGCTTTGCCTTCTGCCAGTACATCATTGGTTTATAGCTCAGTTGTAGCCCTCATCCTGTTTTTTATCCTCAGATGCTTGTTGAGTCCTGTCTGTTACACACAGATGGAACCATTTATATTTGCTTCCTCGCCACCTACGGGAATGGTGGAAATAGTATTTTCTTTGTAATTGGCTGCTTTCTTACAAGAAAAAACACAAATTATCAGTTTAAGTTCATGTCTTTGTTCTCCATTGGGCCTCATGGCTATTCTAAATCCAATTGTATGGATCTTGCTGTATCTGAGATTAGAATGGAGTGAAGTGAAGCATTGTAAGTTTAGAGCTGCATTAAAATATTTTAAAAGTATATATAAAAAAATTGAATATACTTCACAATCTGACGGACATTCTCGTAAATTGCTTTTTATTCCTTTGGAAGTTATTTATATTTCTCGTCAAACAATGGTAGAAGCCAAAGAACACGGAAGAAAATATAATGCTATTTTGAATTCTAAGATGTGATCCTCTATACAAAAATGAAGAAAGAAACCTCACTAAACACTGCTTTCCTGTCTCGCGCTCAATCATTCTAGCGTAAGGAAGAAAAAAAAAAAGGCATCTTTAAAGCTCATCATTTGAGTCATTTAAGAAAGAAACCTTACTAAACACTCTTTTCCTGTATCGCGTTCAATTATTCTAGCGTAAGGAAGGTAAAAAAAAGCATCTTTAAAGCTCATCATTTGAGTCATCTTCATCTCCTCCATCTGCTGCACCTCCCGGAGCTCCACCAGATCTCTGATAAACAGATGCTGCACCTCCCGGAGCTCCACCGGATCTCTGATAAACAGAAGTGATTATGGGGTTGCATACAGCTTCCACCTCCTTCAACTTCTCCTCATAATCTTCTTTCTCAGCGCTTTGATTATCATCTAACCACTCGAGGGCCTCCTTAACGGCTGTCTCAATCTTCTCCTTCTCATCAGCCTCTAACTTGTCTGCCAGCTTATCTTTGTCATTGACCTGGTTCTTCATGTTGTAGACATAGGTCTCCAAGCTGTTGCGGGCGTCAATCTTCTCCTTAACCTTCTTATCTTCCTCTGCAAATTCCTCAGCTTCCCGAACCATCCGTTCAATCTCTTCCTGACTGAGCCTACCCTTGTCGTTCGTAATTGTGATCTTCTCAGATTTTCCTGAGGCCTTGTCTTCAGCCTTGACGTTTAGATACCATTGGCATCAACCTCAAATGTCACTTCAATCTGAGGAGTTCCTCTGCCCGAATAAACAAGCCACATTAAGTTAGCCGGTGAAGCACAGGTAATCACCATGAAAATGAATCTAAGAGCTCGAGCATAAGAATCAGAACAAACCTTGGAGCTGGGGCAATTCCAGATAGATCGAATTTCCCGAGCGACCTGCAATCCTTTGTGAGACTCCTTTCACCCTCAAAGACCTACAGTACATGATCACATTAAAACAGTTAATTTCATATGCAGGCCTCTGTGCAAACAGATGAAAACTGAAATTGTGCTGATATACCTGAATAGTGACAGTTGTTTGCTGATCCTGGTAAGTGGTGAAGGTCTGAGACTTCTTAGTTGGTATGACACTGTTTCTTGGGATCAACTTGGTCATCACCCCACCAACAGTTTCAATACCAAGAGTAAGAGGTGCCACATCCAACAGAAGTATATCTAGAAGAAGCATAGTAGATAAAGACATTACAGTCAGTGAGCTTGGGATCTCGTCGATGCGAAGTCCTAATTCAGTCGTATTAATGGGATGAAGAAAGATTACCTTTGGTTTCATCACCACCCTCTCCGCTTAAAATGCCTCCTTGTACAGCAGCGCCGTAAGCAACAGCCTCATCGGGGTTCACACCCTTGTTGGGCTCCTTCCCATCAAAGTAATCCTTGAGAAGCTGTTGAACCTTGGGAATTCTAGTGCTTCCACCAACAAGAACAATTTCATCAATCTGGTGTTTCTCCAATCCAGCATCCTCCATGGCCTTCTTAACTGGACCCATGGTCTTTCTGAACAGGTCATTGTTCAACTCTTCGAACCTAGCTCTGGTAAGTGGTTCAGAGAAATCAACGCCATCAAAGAGAGACTCAATCTCCACACGGACTTGATGCTGGCTACTCAAAGCTCTCTTGGCACGCTCACATTCTCTCCTTAGCTTTCCAAGAGCTCTGTTATCCTTGCTGACATCCTTTCCATGCTTCTTCTTGATCAACTTAATAAAGTACTCCATAATTCTCTGATCGAAGTCCTCACCTCCCAAATGAGTATCTCCATTGGTTGCAAGCACTTCAAAGACACCATTGTCAATGGTCAAGATACTAACATCGAATGTGCCGCCACCAAGGTCAAATACAAGAATGTTCTTTTCGCCACCCTTCTTGTCCAAACCATAGGCTATGGCAGCGGCTGTTGGTTCATTGATAATCCTCGCAACTCTCACACCGGCAATAACACCGGCATCCTTTGTAGCCTGCCTTTGGGCATCATTGAAGTAAGCTGCAGAGTTCGAAAAAATCACCAAAGTCAATCATCAACCATACGTAACCAATTCCTAACCGAAATTGCTTTAAATTGAAAAACATTATCACTTTACCTGGAACAGTTATAACAGCATCCTTGATTTTCTTTCCAAGGAATGCCTCGGCTGTCTCCTTCATCTTTGTAATAACCATGGCACTAATCTCCTCTGGGCTGAAAACCTTGGTCTCGCCATCTTTAATCTTGACTTCAATGTAAGGCTTTCCATCCTTGTTGACAATCTTGTATGGAAAAAGCTTTATGTCCTTCTGAACTTCTTTGTCACCATAACTACAAATATACACACACACAGAGATTAGAATCTCAATCACGTCACAATCATTCACACACAAGCATGCATACAGAAGAACTATGAGAGAGAGTACACACACTCTTCCTATAAGTCTTTTGACATCAAAGATGGTCCTCTCAGGATTAGCAGCTGCCTGATTCTTTGCAGCCTCACCAATCAATCTCTCACTGTCAGTGAATGCCACCCACGACGGCGTAATCCGGTTACCTTGATCATTGGCTATGATTTCAACATGCCCATTTTTGTAAACACCAACACAAGAATATGTTGTTCCGAGGTCTATTCCTATCACTGTCCCCAACTTGGTGGCCTCCTCTTTTGCTATCGAAATTGTTAACAAACTCCCTGTTCACAGATTAAACTCCCTTATCAATAAAGGAAGCAGGAATCTCAACCACAATCTTAAAAATCAATTTCAAGAGAAAATACAAAGAAAGCATGTTATTCAACTTCAGCTATAATTCAATGCCATTTATAAACAAAGAAAAAAAAATGCTATACGGAACAAAATCATTCCCTTTGAATTCGGTATTTGTTAGCATAATTAAAATAAATAAATAAAAGATAAACCCTTTCGCTAAACCATTTTCCAAATTCATTCCAAAAAAACTCAAAGATAAAACCCGATATTAAGAAACACCGCAACACATCATTAACGTTTCAAAAACTTCCCTTTCTTTTACTTCCGCTACTTTCTCACCATCCAAACACGAGAAAATATAAACGAAACAAAGAAAAAGAAAAAGGAGTGGAAGAAACTTAAGAAAAACTGAACACTTACCAAGCAAAAAAATTGCCATCACCATAAAAGAACCTGCACGATGCTTCAATGAAAACCCCATGATTGCTTGTCTTGAATGACAACAGCTAAAGATTTTAACGTTCTCTCCTTTCTTCTTCAATTGTTTTTTTTTTTTTTTTTCTTCTTTGGATGATTTTCTGTCAGGCACCAGACATGCTTTATAGTGGATGGAACATGTCACAGTGCTGACATGGACCAATTATAATTCAGAAAAAAGTCTGGTAGAACTATACTTCATTGGAACATGTCACAGTGATGACGTGGACCAATTATAACTCGGAAAACTCTGTTTAAACTGTAGTTCTAGTAAACACGTCACAGTGCTCACGTGGTCCAATTATAATTCAGAAAAAGTTATGTTTGATGTGGCTTTCGGAGAAAAAAAGGTTGGTTATATATTTTTTTATTTTAAGCATCTAACTGCACCAGTAATGATTTAAAGGGAGTTATTTTAATGGAAAAATCATGCAGAGTTATTTTAAATTAATAGTGAAAAAAAACAAGTAAAGTTTCAATAAAGACAGGACGGGGAATTGAAAATTACTTATTAAAAGACATATACGTTACCACACAAGAAGAATATATATATATTAAATTACGCAAACTAACCTAGATATTTATATTAATAATATATGTGTATATACTCACACGCCTTCGTTGTCATCCCCCTATTAATTTATTTTTTAAGAATTTTTTTTAAAATATTTATTTTAAATTAAATTTTTTAGTATTTTTAAATTAATTTAATATACTGAAACTAAAAATAAATTTTAAAAAAATATTTTATTTTAATATATTTTTAAATAAAATATTTTAAAAAAATAAAACAACATGGTTGCAGATATGTTAATAGCAACATATCAGACAGGATTGCAGATATGTTAATAGCAACATATCAGTTTATTAATATACTGACAATAAACATATTCATTAACACAAACTTGCATTGTCACCGTGTTTCATTCAACATCGATATCATTTTTTTAAAACAATTATAACTAAATATTATTATTTTCACTTGTCATAATTCATCCAGTCGTTCCTCTTTTCTTTTTTCTTTTACCCCACAATGCAAACATATATATATATATATATATATAGTAATAGGCAATTTTTTTTCTCTTATTTTTCCGTTTTCTTTGAAATTGTTGTGTAGAAAAAAGAAAGGTATAATCCATCAGTTTGCCTTTGACATAATTTCTCAATTGTATCCTTATATATGCTAATGACACTCAAATTTAATGCATATGTTATTTGATTCAATCATTTAATATGTAAAAATTGTCTAATTCAATACTAATTATACAAATCGTGGAAACAATAATATATTAAAATTATACATGTTAAATCAGTGAATTATGCCATCAATCCACTAATTTAATGTTTATAATTTCTGTACAACGATCATTGGATCCATTGATTTCAGTGTGTAATCACAATCCATTTCCACATCGAATATTATTAAAAACAATTATTTCACATATGTACCAAGTAAAAACATTATGGAATTGAGGGATTTTTTCAAGCATGGGAGTG